ATTGATTATTATAGATATTATTACTCATTATCAAAAATTTCATTATTAGACTATTGTAGTTGTAATGATAATAATAATAATAATAAATATAATCATCATTATAACTATTATCAACATCTATTTTTATTCTTACTGAGAAGTTATTTGGCAGCACTATCTTTTGCCCGACTGGACGCCTGAACAAGGGGATATGTCGGTTTCTCGCTGTGAGGTCGGGTTCCAGCCAATGGAGAATGCATATTGCAGCTGGCACGGCGGGGATTTGAACTAGTATGCGTTTATATATATTTGTAATATGTATATATGCATAGATATATATGTATACATATATATGTATCCGTCTCTCTCTCTCTCTCTCTCCTCTCTTCTATATATATTATATATATATATATATAAATATATATAATATATAATATATATATATATAATATATATATACATATTATGCGTCTATATATTTTGTATCTATCTATCTATCTATCTATCTATCTACTATCTATCTATCTATCTTATATATTATACATACATGCCTCACACACACACTACACACATATGCACATACACACACACATACAAACACACACACACACACGCAGACACACACACATACATCTATGCATATCTATCTACCTATATATATATATATGTTTATATATTATGTAAATGATACATGTGCGTGTATACACACACACAAATATATAGATTTACAAATACAAAGGCGAAGATGGTGGGCAGACTGGTTGAGATATGTTCTGTCAGTTTAAGACAAAATCCAGGAAACAGCAAACTCAAACATGCATATAAATCACTGCCTTCTTCGGAGAGAAGACAATAAAATTACTCGAGAATGAAACCTATATTTGAATACCATTATCCACATAGCCCGGGCTCTTTCTGTTAATGTAAATGTTTAAAAAAAGCTTCGCCATTTGTGATCTGGATTAAATTACATTTACTTGTTTCGTTATTACTTTATGTTTATATGAAAATATGCGATGATAGCATATTGAATGGAAATAATTATCACTTAAGAAATCTAAATTGCCTCTGTTTATTTATTATATATTATATATATATATATATATATATATATATATATATATATATATATATATATATATATATCTGTCTGCGCGTGTGTTTATATATATGCGTGTGTGTGCATGCATATGCGCATATACAACACGCGCGACGCAGACAGCGAGAGAGAGATAGATAGATAGATAGATAGAGAGAGAGAGAGAGAGAGAGAGAGAGAGAGAGAGAGAGAGAGAGAGAGAGAGAGAGAGAGAGAGAGAGAGAGAGAGAGAAGAGAGAGAGAAAGAGAAGAAAGAAGTAAGAGAGGAGATGTATAGTTATTCTAGAAACACAAAACGAAAAAGAAATAAAAAATCAACTCGCTAGGCCCCAAGTTTTTACATTACATACCTTTTACACTGAAAACGACCCGCCTGTCACCTAGTAACACACTTTATCTGTGAAACTCGTACTTCTCAGGGTAAGCGTTTCACAATTTTGATCCACGCAATCAGTTTTTCTCCTACGATGATAAGTCTGATCAAGGTTAACTGACGAAGAGAGAACATCGCCTGACCTGGAGTGACATGACTTCATACACTGGACTATATCTAACGGGACTGATTTTATAAGTGTGCACACGAAGGTACACACATCGACTTACACAAAACTTGGACGTCCATCCGGGCAAAAACGCGCAAGCAAGCACATATATTCTTATTACATATTCTTATTATACGGTTACGTATTTGGTAGCGTTGGTTAGTTTGGTGGTGATCCGGATAAAGGATATTATAAAAATGATTGCATAGTTAACCATATTGCCAATATAATACTATTATCAGCATTACCTATATTACCTCCGCCAAGGACGTTATGTTTACGGGCGTCACCATTGTAGTTGAGAGAGAGATGTGATTTCGATGTAGTTCTTCAAGTGTGAATATTTTTATTGCATCGGTGACCCTATTACCTCGGCGGAGGTATGCATTCTCTGAGTGCTTCTAGAATGTACATACAAACACACACATATGCATTAAGTCACACATAAAGTATTCATGTACACAGGATCAAACTCAATATTTTTTTTGTACTACTGCTTATTATGCACCATCCCTTTCAGCTAAAAAATCCCTGATCTCGACTCTCTAAACGGAAAGGTGGTGTGTAATCTTACGTCTTTGTGAGGAAGAGCGGGTGGCGTAATATTACGTCCAGGAGCTAGGGCGGATGAAGTTTCACCCCCCCCCCCCCCCATCCAGTATCAATACTCTTTTTATTTTCTTCTCCCATCTTCCTTCAAACTTACCCTATTATTACCTCCTTCATCAATCCCACAGTCTCTCCATATAATATGATATACATAATATACTCAATACCTTTGCCTTCATCTTAAAGACATTTATAGATCGTTTTCTTCTCAATTCCTTTTCGTAACTTTCGAACTGACTCATACGACAATACTAAAGTTTGTATAATTTTTCGTATTTTCAAGTCAAACTTTTCCGTTAGCCCCCAGTTCTCTCTCCCGAAAACATTCCTAGATTATTGTAGAAAAGGTATGAATGGGAATGAATATCTTCACAATACAAGAGATATTCATTCTCATTCATTCCTTTTCTACGTTTGTTAACATGACTACGGTTCATTCCTAGATTATCTTTCCTTCACTATATCATTCAAGGTATGTTATCAGCCAGCCATGGTGTTCAAAGCGATAAATTTTCTCTGAAAGTTTATTCGAAAACATTGTGCTATTTTGGATTCTTACTCTTCTTGGGATTCTTTTACACTGATTTTCGCTTGTAGCTCTCCTCTTGTTCTTAATCTTTCCTTGTTAGCCCAATCACAAACACATGTGTATGTATTCACACACACACACACACACACCACACACACACACACACGCACGCACACCAACGCACACGCACACGCACACGCACACGCACACGCACACGCACACGCACACGCACACGCACACACCACACATACAACACACACACACACACTATATATATAATATATATACATGTATATGTAATGTATAAAATATGTATACGTTTATATTATATTATATTATAATATATATATATATATATATATAATATATATATATATATATATATATATATATATATATATATATATTGAGAGAAGAGAGAGAGAGGAGAGAGAGAGAGAGAGGAGAGAGAGAGAGGGAGAGAAGGAGAGAGAGAGAGAGAGAG